GATAATGAAGAAGTCGATCTTATATGGATAAGTATTCGCAATTTCCGTTCTAAATTTTGGTTCCAATTTTTTTAATCAACAAATCACAAATCGATATCAACATTAATTTGAGTGTGTTAGCTATTAAATCAATTTCTTTATATAAATCTTCAGTTGTCCGATTTAATATTTCTTGAAATTGGATTCTGTATAGATTGTAACATAAGATTATTTTTTTCCTGATATGTGGTTAAGTTAATTTATTTCCATATATATTTCAGATATTTACATACTGATGATGTTGCCAAAAGAGGAGTATTAAAAAAGATAAGTCTTATGTAAAGATTATAAGAGAAAAACAGTTGTTTATAAAATATGTGGTATTAATGATACAAATTTCAATTGTGTATACAACCCAAGCATCATGTCCTTGTCAAATTCTTATGGAAGAGGTAGAAACAACGTCATCTTTTTAGCAATCAATTAAATCTGGGAACTATGTTAAAGGTTAGTGAGATAATAACGATAACATCTTTGTTTACTTGATTAAAATGTATAGCTATTGTTATCTAAGTTAAAGGTTAATGAGATGATAATGATTATATACTTTTGTATAGTTTTAATGAATACTTCGTTGCTGCTGCAATTTCTGAATTAGTATAAACTAATTTCTCATAGTTCTCCACTCTCCAGTTGTGATGAGCTTTTGAAACTTGTTGACTTGTTGTTTCTTGACAGTCGCATGAATCAAAGTACCCTGTACGAAGCAAAGAAACAGACTTTAACATTTGATGTACACATAATAATTAGAAGAGTAAATCTATACTATTAGTAAGAAGATGATTATAGATGTATCAGCAAGAATCATCTCGATAGTCTCCTCGGAGTATTGGGTGTATTGAGTCCACGAATGGACAATTTTCACTTGGATGTTCGGTGATGGGAAGATTTGCAGCCATTGTTTCAGAGGTATAGAGGTGTTTTGATAGCTTATTGAGTATTGAGAATATGATTAGAGATCTATATTTATAAGAGATGGGGGACGGCTAGGGTTCGTCCTATTAGAACGCTATAATATATTTGCAAATCAATCATTTGAATAGATATTTTAGGTATATACTTGATTTAAGAGGTTTTGAATATACTGTTTTGATTTAGTTTAGATTTTTGGTAACTGTATAAGAACAAAATTTGTTATCATATTAATTAAGATTCGAAATTATAGAGATATGATTGTTTAGGTATTATATTTACTTATGTGTTATGGTAATTATGTTTAGATTTCCAAATCGCAACCGTGAGCATCAATCCAGATCGCAACAGTGAGGATCAAGCTAAGGACTGGCGGGTCAAGTATAGGGTCCGCGTGTGGATCCGTAAGTTAGCCCATCATCCTCATAAATAACCGATCCAATAGCCCATGATCCATGGATATTTGTCTATCAAATTATACTTTTAACCTTGCACGTGTTTTTTTTATTTTAGTCTTTGAATGTAATTATCCTAATGGCAATCTTTGTAATTAG